AAAAAAAAAAAAAAATCTTTTTACTTTTTTAATAACTGAGCGTGAAAATGAACAAAACACAGAATATAATGAAAAGCCCAGCTAGTAGTAAGTAGTTGTATTTAAAAGTTTATTTCCCCTTACATTTGAGTATTTTTAATTTAAAATTTAAAAATTCTGAAGAGGAAGTGTTTCTGTACTGCATTGGTTCCACAACAAAACTTATATTTGAAAACAACACTAAATTTTGATGTGTCCATGGTTTCTAGGCAGTAAGCTTAGCCAGGGTCATAGAGTCTTGTCCTGTTGTTCCATTCGTCATTTTCTAATCACTGTAACAGTCCTCCAAGAGCTCAAGATGTCCTTCAGATGAATGAATTCTGGAAGTCCTCAGTAGCAATTGTTGGTAGGACTGTGTCTGTCAGGGTAGCACTTTTGTTAATAACTCTCTTTCCCCAGTGCTAAACCAGCTCCTTCCTAAGAGCCCCACATGCAGATTTCTCTCCCATCTCTTCACCCTCATTACCTAAACCTCTTCTGCTTATTTGATGCCTGTGTTTCTGACACACTTTCTCTTTTCCTACCTTCCCTATTCCTCAGTTTTGTCCTTTCCTTAGTTCCTTTTTGTCTTGTATTTCTTAGGCCCAGAACAATCATTCCTAGGTAGTCACTTGGATGAATCTACTTATTCAATTCTCAGTTCAAATGTTACCTCCTAAGGGAATCTTAATCCAATTACATTAGCCAAGCCCTCTTCCCTGGCACTTTATCCCATTAATAAAGAGGTTTTATAGCATAATGGCTAAGGAAACCAGGGTTTGGACCTAGTTTGAATCCTGGTCTTAGCACCTTAACTGTCTTTATAACCTTGGACAGTAAACATACTCCTTGTTTTTTATTTAATTTTTATTATGAATATGAAGATGGTATCTGTTTTATACTTTGATGTGTGCATTATTTGAATTAATACTTTTAAGGTACTTAGAATGATGCCTGGTATATGTCAAATGTTCACCAAATGTTCTAATTATTGAATATTAGTAAATTGTAATGTAAGAAACTTGTCCTTGGTCTTGTAGTCTTGTGGAGAAGATAATAATTTCATAAGTAATGGTATAAAATATGATGAATGTTGTGATTGAAGAATATACAAAAATATGAAGTTAGTTGTACCTGTCTAATTACTTTGGTTAATTATTATCTGATTATCTCATTATGTCTTTTGCTGAAAAGTTGGTACTACTTCAGCTGGTTTAAAAGATACAGAGAAGTTAGTGTTCTTCCTTTAGTTTATAGTAAGAGGATTGAGAATGATAGAGATGGGAGGGGTACGAGGGAAATTGGAGAAGGTCTTTCCAATATGGTGACATGTGACCAAACGATGTGAGGATATGAGTTATGTGTGCACGTGGAAGAGTAGTGATCCAGTCAGAAAGAATAGTAAGTGCGGGGTCCCTAAGGTGGAACTGTGCTTTTGTATGTTCGCTAATCAGAAAGAAGGCCAAAGTCACTGCAGTGTGAGAATGTAGTGGGAATGCCATGGTGATAGCAGCAGAGCAGGGTTAGTAACCACATGATGCACAGCTTGGCTAATTTTTTATACCGGGTAAGATGGGAAATGATTAGAGAATTTAGAGTGGAGCAGTAAGATACATTATTTATGTTTTAACAGAATCACTTGTTGCTGTGTTAAGAATAAACTGTAGGGATAAGTGAAGGCTCTTATATCCCAGTTCAGATGAGAGGTAGTGGGGGTATTGGAAGTAGAAGTGATGATTATGGACTTGTTTGTTTTAGAGGCAGGTCTTGCTAGGTTGCTCAGGCTGGCCTTGAATTCCTGGGCCTAAACCATCCTCCCACCTCAGCCTCCCAAGAAACCGGAATTATTTTTTAGATTAATATGAGGATACAAATGATTAGATTATAGTGTTTGTGTTTATTAGGTAAGGTCCTTGTTGTAATTGTGCCCCTCACCCAGGAGATGTGCTACATACCCTTATGTTGTGCCTATTAGGTAAGAGCACACCAAATTCTTTCCCTCCTCCCCCTTTCCCTCAACCTGAATTAAAATGAATTTTTCTCTTGTGTGGGTGTGTATTAGTTTGTGTACTAGCTTCATATTCATATTGAATACATTGGATACTTTTCCATTCTTGTGATACTTTACTAAAGAGAATGAATGTTCTCTAGCTATATCTAGGTAATACAAAAGATGCAAAGTCTCCATTTTTTATGGCTGACTAGTATATTTCAGGGTATACATATGCCACAGTTTATAGCTGGGACTATTTTTAATTGTATCGTTCAGTGGCTTAAGTACACTTGCAGTGTTTTTCAGCCATCACCAAATATTATTCTCCAGAATTTATTTCATCTTCCCAAAGTGAAATTTTCATTGAATAATAATTCCCCATTGCTCCCTCCTCCTATCTTTTGTATAGCCACCACTCTACTTTATGTCTTTAGAATTTGACTCTAGTTTCCTCATAGATGGAAGTATTTGTCTTTTTTATTTTTTGTCATATAGTATTTGTCTTTTTGTTTTTTTTTTCAGTTTTTGGCCAGGGCCAGGTTTGAACCCACCATCTCTGGTGTATGGGGCCAGCGCCCTACTCCTTGAGCCACAGGCACTGCCTGTATCTGTCCTTTTGTGACTGTTATATTTTACTTGACATGATGTCTTAAAGATTCATCCATGTTGTAGCACACGGATCAGAATTGTCTTCCTTTGGGTTATAGGTGGCTCACACCTATAATCCTAGCACTCTGGGAGGCTGAGGTGGGAGGATTCCTTGAGTTCAGGAGTTTGAGACCAGCCTGAATAAGAACAAGACCCCCCCATCTCAACTAAAAATAGGAAAAAAAGAAAGGAAAAACAACCACCTGGGCAGGGTCACAGGTTCCCATAGTCCTAGCTATTCAAGAGGCTGAGGCAAGTGGATCATCTGAGCCCAAGAATCTGAGGTTGCTGTGAGCTATGATGATGACATGGCACTCTACCCAGGTGACAGATTGAGACTGTCTTGGGGGGGGGGAACAAAAGAAAAAGAATTTCCTTCCTTTGTGAGGCATTCCATTGTCTATATACCGTCTTTTGTTTATTTTTCATTGATGAATGCTTGGATTGCTTCCTCCTTTTAGCTGTTGTAAATAATGCTGCTGTGAACATGGGTCCAGGTATCTCTTTGAGTCCTTCTTTCCAGGTCTTTGAGTATATATCTACATACCCAGAAGGGTAATTGCTGGGTTACATAGTAATTCTATTTTTATTTTTAAGAGATAGGATCTTCCTATGTTGCCCAAGCTGATCTCCAACTTTTGGGCTCAAGAAGTCCTCCTGACTCAGCCTCCCAAATAGCTAGGTTTACAGGCATGAGCCACTACACCCAGCATATTTTAATTTTTTGAGGAAAAAAATTGCACAGAGGCTACAGCATCCCATCAACAGTATACAAGGATTCCATTTTCACTACCTCTTCTCCAACACTTGTTATTTTGCTTTCTTTTTTGATAATAGCTATCTTAGTAGATGTAAAGTGATATCTCATATAGTTTTGATTTGCATTTCTGTAGTAATTAGTGATGTTGAGCATTGTTTGGCCATTTGATTATCTTCTTTGGAAAAATACTTGTTCACATCCTTGCCTATTTTTAAATCTTACTGTTTTTGTGGTTGAGTTGTAGGAGATCTTTATATATTCTAGATATTAACCCCTTATCAGAGCTATCATTTGCAAATACTGTGTCCCATTTTGTGGATTGCCTTTCATTCTGTTGGTTGTGTCCTTTGATACACAAAGGTTTTTAATTTTGAGGTAGTCCATTTTATTTTGTTTTTTCTTTTGTTACCTGTGCTTTAGGATATTCTTGAGTGTTCTTTCTGAATATTTAAAAGCAGGACCAATTACCTATTAATTACACTTACACATAGTGCATAATAACAGCAAAATCTTCATCATCATGGAGAATACTTTATATTCTCGGAAGGAGGACAAGTTTCTGCTCATTAAGATCCAAATGTAAAATAGAATGACAGGAGAACAAAATGTATTGTTTTATGTTCTTTGTGTAGTCTTTCAGAAATGAGTCACTAGTAGCAGTAGCCATGAACCTTTGTGGTGCAGAGGTGCATTGGTAACTAGGGATCTGTCAGGAAGATTTGCCCTCCCTCTCTGTTCTGAGGCCTTCCTGGACCACTCTAGAACTGTCCCCTCTTGCACTCTGTTCACTCTCATCCCTGTATTTCTTTTTATTCTTGGCACTTTTTTATGAACAGACATTATGACATTTGATTGCTTTTTCGTTTAAGGTCTGTCTTTATAAGGGACTTTGTCTGTTGTCCACTGCTGACTTCCCAGTGCTTCCGACAATGCCCTGTAAATATTTGAGTTAATAAAGCAACCTCTAGTTAAACATCTTCTACTTTCTGTCAACAGAAATCTTAAGAAGTAGATGCTTGTTCCACTTTCATTCGTTTGCTTTGTAACACCACTATCCCACACCATACAACTTTTGTTGTAGCCCTTATTTTAGTATCGTGCCATTTATACAGGATGTAAAACAGGATAAGTATTGGAGGGCTTATTGTGTGCCAGGCACTGTTCCAAGACAGGCACAGGTACATTAACATCTTAGGGTTGATTTAAGTCATTTTGGTACCAACAGTTTCAAAGAGAAAATTACTTTCATTTAAAAATGGGATTCATGAACCAAGTTGTATTTATAAAGATACATTAGTTTAATATTTTTCTTAGATTTAACCTTATATGAACTTTTCCCCAGATATTTTCTAAATTTGGCACAGTCTTGAAGATTATCACCTTTACAAAGAATAATCAGTTTCAAGCCTTGCTTCAGTATGCTGACCCAGTGAATGCACATTATGCCAAAATGGTAATTATGATCTTTTTCATTCTTTAATTGTCAATCATTGACTTCATTGATAGCTGAAAGAAGCCACATGTCTTTCTCAAACAGTTTACTGGTTTTTAAAATTGTGATAAAATATATACAGCCTAGTATTTACCTTATTAATCATTTTTAAGTGCAGCGTTTCCTGTGTTCTTTTTTCTGAGCTAAAAATTATTGCTTCTTTCTTTGTATGAAATAGTTTCAAATCTCCTCATATCTTAGACCTCTGAGACTCAGTCCAGTTTGTCATATTTAAGGTCTAGAGTTTTGCATCGTATTCCTGATACGATCTGATTAATAATGATCTGATTAATAAAGTTGAATTACCTTTACCCTTGTACCTTTATTTACTTCTGTTAAATCAGCCAAAGATTGATTTTTGCAACCATAATCAGTGTTCATTCCTGTTGAGCTGTCAGTTGGTGAAGATGCTAAATCTCAGGAATTATGCTGCTGTCAATTCATGTTGTCTTTTTTTAAGTACACAAATACTGGAATTTTTTGGCAAGATACAAAACTTCACTTTCACTTTGGTTATATTAGACATATTATTGAGATCTACCCCTAACCCTAATTTTATCTTGTACCGGTGTCTGAATCATTTCTAATTTCTGTTCAAAGATAGGGACTAACTTTTATGATACTTTTTGTACCACACAGTGTCTGGCACTTGATTGGGAATATAGCTGTTCCTATACCCTCTATCCACATACATAGATTATTTTGTACCTTTTGACAGCATATTTATCAATGACTTATTGTAAATCAGAGTGTTTTTTTCTACATATTTGTTTGTTTTATTTTGTGGTTTGGTTTCTGGTATCTGTTTTTATAAATTCAAGCACTTGTGGAAGTCATAGTCGGCCATCATCCTTTGGTAAATTTTTATTCTTTCAAAGGTAGGGATTACTGATCTTTGGTTACAACTGACTTCAAATTTCTGTCAGCTTATTATTCCAAATATTATAAAAATAAATTTACAATTTAAAAGAAAATGGTAGATAATATTTTACATATTGTAGCTCTGATAAGTACCATTTTACAGGCTTTGTTTCATCCTAACCTATGTAAACTTATATTAAAATGAATTATGATGAAATGTAAAATTAAAATATCTTTAAACATTTGCCATAGGCAAAATAATCATGATAGCAGCTAATATTTTATAATATCCAATCATTTTCCAAGCTTTTGCATTTCTTTTCTCATTTGACATTACTGTAGTCAATATAGACGTTATTAATCATATTTTACAGATGAAAACTGAGACTTGGAGATTTTCTTTTTCTCCCTTAAACTTTGTAAACAGAATCACAAACCCAAATCTTTGGCTGTTAGTCTTGTGCTCTCTGCTTTGTACCTGAATGCTACTCTGTGTCAACATAGAGGCTACCTGATTTATCAGTGTTGTTGTCTTGCCAAAACCAGTCCCTTTCTTACATGCTTTAGGCTCTGGATGGCCAGAATATCTATAATGCATGCTGCACTCTGCGTATTGACTTCTCCAAGCTCACCAGCCTTAATGTGAAATATAATAATGATAAAAGCAGAGACTTCACTCGCTTAGACCTTCCTACTGGTGATGGCCAGCCATCCCTTGAACCCCCTATGGCTGCTGCTTTTGGTGAGTAGTTCCTTTTTGGGTCACAAAACAAGTTTTCCAGAGTTATAAGTTTAAGTTAACTATGTACTAATCTATATCAGTTCACCTTTCCTTCTTGAGTTCTCTTGTGATATCTAAAAGAAAGCAAGAATCATGGAACAAAGTATGTCCATTAATTAAATCTTAGTGTTAGGAATATTAGTTGTCAAATCAGTGGATATCTGAAATTGAGTTACAAATTTATTTTCTAACATCATCATTACTCTTTTTTTTTGAGACAGAGCCTCAAGCTGTCCCCCTGGGTAGAGTGCTGTGGCATCACAGCTCACAGCAACCTCCAACTCTTGGGCTCAAGCGAGTCTCCTGCCTCCGCCTCCCAAGTAGCTGGGACCACAGGCGCCCGCCGCAAGGCCTGGCTATTTTTTTGTTGCAGCCATCATTGTTGTTTGGCAGGCCCGGGCTGGATTCAAACCCGCCACCATAGGTGTATGTGGCTGGCGCCATAGCCACTTGAGCCACAGGCACCGAGCCATCATTACTCTTTCTAGGTTACACAACCGTTTGCTTCAAATTAATAGTCTTACATATTAACATTGATTTAAACATGCTAGTTTATAGCCAACAGAATTTTGTCATATATGCTCTTGAGAAAAATACTTTTCCTGTTTTTAAGCAGTGATATTTTAAATCAAGAGCTTAAACTAATGGTATGTTTTTCCTTGAATAAAGAAAGTTTACTTTGTTTTTTTCAACTTTGAAACTTTTGTATCTTAAGTTTGTATAAAGTTGCACTTTGGGTACATAAAAATATAGCTTTCTGTTTCTGCAAGTGTTACTTTTAAGAGCTTCTTTCTTTTATTTAAAGCAAACCTTTACATAAAGGAAAAGCAGTGGATATCCCAGTGTGAATTTGTTATTAGGTTAATATATGCTACTCTATAGTTGTGGTTTATTATTTAAATAAAGTATTAAGTTTTATTACTCTTTGTGATTGGTATGATACCATAGAAGAAACTAATTGAGACTTTAAGTAGTATATCATGGATTGGCTTTCACAGATGAGAAAATTAAAGAACTGAAATAACAAATGGTTGTCCAAAATTTTCTAGAAAATAGTTCATAGTCTACTGTAGAATGAAATCTTTTTCATTATTTATAATTTAAAAGTCAAGTGAATATTCAGTTTATGTTCCTAATAGTGTTAACATTTCTTTTTTGGTCTCTTTGACCAAATTTTTATGTTTGGGGTTTTTTGTTTTGTTTTGTTTTTTGGGTTTTTTTTTTTTTTAAGTGTTTTAGATAGGATTTTGCTTTGTTGCCTGGGCTAGAGTGCATTGGTGACATCATCGCTCACTGTAACCTCAAACTCTGGGCTCAGGATATCTGCCTGCCTTGGCCTCTCTAGTAGCTGGAACTATGGGAGCATACTACTATGCTCAGATCATTTTTCTGTTTCTTTAATATTTGTAGAGATAGGATGTGTCTATGTTACTCAGGCTGGTCTCAAATTTCTGGGCTTAAGCAATCCTCCCATCTTAGTCTCCCAAAGTGCTAGGATTATAGGCATGAACCACCATACCTGGTCAAAAATGTTTATGTTTTATATCCATTATCAGCACCTAACTTAATTATGTCTGAATTGGCAGAGTCATAGGTCTTTGTCATTACCATTTTAATAATAGGTGATAGGAGTTGGATGAAATTCAGGTTTACTAAAACTTAGCTATCAAATGCAGAATTGCACTTATTTCAGTAATTAAATACTTACTTTTGGTATAATTAATGTTCTGCATTGTGGGAGAAAGACATTTTTAACTGTAGTTAAGCTTGATTTCTAAGTATAAAGTATCAGAATATTCATTTTTCATTGTATTATTAATAAATCCTTAGTCATTGCAAAATATTGTCTACATCCTATGATAAGTGATTGATGAGACAGAAAACAATATGCTTTATGTAGAATATCATGGATTGGCTTTCACAGATGAGAAAAGTTTCTCTATTCTGCCTAATATTTGACACAATTCTCTTCTCTTTTCTTCCTTCCTCCTCCTTTGTCGCCTGGGCTAGAGAGCAGTAGTATCCTTCTAGCTTCCTGCAACCTCAATCTCCTGACCTCAAGCTATCCTCCCACCTCTGTTCCCAAAGTGCTGGGATTACAGGCAGGAGCCACTGTGCCCAACCCTCCCTTCTTTTTTCTCTTGGCTTCTGAAACACCACACTCTGCATACTATCTTCTTAACTTATTAGCTGTTCTTTTGCTTTTAAAGGCTGCCCTTTGTAGTTTCTAGGGTTGAATCATAAGCACTCTGCCCCCTCTTTTTAGTGATATTTATTATATCTATAGAAAATCTTATAAAACATGTATATATATATTTTTTTCTTTTTTTTTTTTGCAGTTTTTGGCCAGGGCCAGGTTTGAACCTGTCACCTCCGGTATATAGGGCTGGTGCCCTACTCCTTTGAGCTACAGGCACCACCCAAGTAAATATATTTTTTAACACCTATATCATTACCACCCAGATTGAGAAACAAAATATTTACACATATTTGAAGAAGCACTTGTGATAGGAAGGGGAAAATTCCCTTTTTCCTGGAAAGTTCTCTGAAAAATCAACTCATAAAATGGATAATAACCCAGTGTCCCAACAGGGTTCAGAAATTTATTTACCCTCCTTTTAGAAGAGAGGAGGAGATGAGAAACCTAGGTGTTTATGGGATCAGAACCAATCAGTGGTTACCAGGGAGGGTAAATAGATACTTGGGAGAATAAAGGGATGGAGAGAAACAGATTGACTTGTAAATTAACCTGAGAGACAAGATTTTTTTTTATTTGTTCTGCTTTTTGAGACAAGGACTCACTCTGTTGTCCAGGCCAGAGTGCCATGGCATCAGCCTAGTTCACAGTAACCTCAAACTGATGAGGTCAAGTGATCCTCCTGAATCAGTATCCTGAGTAGCTGGGACTGTAGGTGGCTGCCTAGCTAATGTTTGGTAAAGATGATCTTGCACTGCTTAGTCTGGTCTTGAACTCCTGAGCTCAAGTGATCCTCCTGCCTCGACCTCCCAGAATGCTAGGATTATAGGCATGAGTCACTGCTCCCATCCAAGACAGGTATTATATTTAAAATTATTTGGACCATTTCTTGTTGTATTCTTGATTTTTTTTCCTGTACTATGTTGAGATAACAGGGGGAGAAGGGAAATCAAGTATTCTTTTTGATGAATCTGACTGGTTTATGGACGTGAGGGAAAATCTCTTCCAAAGTCTCTTGATGTTTAAGGCCATTAAGTCAAAAACTTTTTGTATCAAGGAGTCATATTTTGGGGTAGTATTTCCTGAGTTCCTTCACATTCTCTCTACCCCTCTTCATTAATTTTTCCACTCTTAAAGATTCTATTTAAGAATCCCAAAGTTCATGATGATTATTCTCTTGCTTTTCTGTTTTCCTGATTTCTGTTTGTTTTTGTTTTTGTTTTTGTTTTGAGACAGAGTCTCAAGCTGTCCCCCTGGGTAGAGTGCTATGGCATCACAGCTCACAGCAACCTCCAACTCCTGGGCTCAAGCGAGTCTCCTGCCTCAGCCTCCCAAGTAGCTGGGACCACAGGCGCCCGCCACAACACCCGGCTATTTTTTGGTTGCAGCCATTATTTTTGTTTGGCGGGCCCAGGTTGGATTTGAACCCGCCACCTTAGGTGTATGTGGCTGGCGCCTTAGCCGCTTGAGCCACAGCACCGAGCCATTTTGTTTTTGTTTTTTAAGCTAGTCATTGTTTATCCCTAAACACAACTTTAAATTTTTTCACCTATATTTAGAAATTTATATAAATGAATCATGGTATTTTTCCTTTGTGACTTTATTTCTTCTGTATTAGTCTTTTGTGATTCATCCATATTCATATATGTGGTTGTCACTCATTCTCAGTATGATAAAGCCTATAATATATCATTTGATGAGTATACCATAGTTTATCCATTGTACTGTTGACAGACATTGGGTTGGTTTTAGTTCAAAGCTATTATGAATAATGCTACTATGAACGTCTTTGTATGTGTCTCCTGGACAACAATTTTTTCTGGGACGCGTACATAGGAAAGGAATTGTGGGGTCACAGATGATAGGTTGGAAAACTCACTAGGTGGTACTCCATGTGGGACCAGGAAAGAATTTCCTTAAACCAAGATTAGGATATAAAAGTACAAGTTTATTTTATCTTTCAAAGAAAAAGTATAAGAGAAAGAGTGAGAGAGGGAAAGCGCACAGGGAAAGAAAAGAGAGCAGGGCGATGGTGTGGCATCCCTAAGAAAGGAAAAGGAAGAATGCTGCTAAGTTTTGAAGACAGAAATTGGGGTGAGGGGACTGCTAGCAAGAGAAAGAAACTAGTCAGAGGGAAAGATTGATTTTAGTCCTTATCGAAGAAACTGAGTTAATAATTTTCCTGTTATTTCACTATAAAGACCAGCCTTCCTTACAACAGAGTCTATATTTCTTTGGTTTTATTACATGAAGCCATTTTGTTTTAAAAGTGATTGTACCAGCGTATAACTGCATCTTGTGATGTTTTAATTCTTATTCTGCTGTACAGAGACATGTAATGGCATGATAGGATTGTAGTTTTCATTTACATTTTCCTGAGTACTAATGACGTCGAATATATTTTCCATCCTCTATTAGGAATTTTGTGTTCAACTCTTCTGTTTTTGTGTTTGTTTTCTCATTTTTTTCTAACTTGTTCATAGGAGTTCTTTGTCTCAGATATAGGTCAATTGTTTGTTTTATGTGTTACAAATACTTTCTCCCAGTTTTGGCTTGTTGGTTTATTCTTTTTATGATATTTTTAGGTATTCATTTATTATTTCCTTTACATTAGTGCTTTTTTGTGCCTTATTTAAGAACTATTTCATTATCTTGAGGTCATGAAGGTATCTGGTCATACTCTAAAGCTTACAGTACTTTAGTAATTTCATTTTGAGCTAATTTAAACTGTAAGAATAGTACAAAGCACCCCGTTATATCCATC